ATTTAGTATTATTCCAAAGAGAAACGTAGTAGAAAACAGGGATCTAAGTTATCCTATCTTCAATAGAGTTGGATTTTATAAGATTTGACTCACAAAGTCACTTCTTCTATCCTGCTTATTTCCTGAACTGGAAAACTGGTGTAAATCCTGAAGTGGAGGTAAAGTAAAAAGGAAATGGTGTTTACTTCCCCCTTGTATGTTTTCCCTAATACAATGCCTCCTCTCAATCATACTCACACACACAAGTAACCATTTCCTTGGTCTTTCAGTTATGGTTAAAAGCCCCGAGCCTGGAGTTCATGTCTTGTCCGTACTACTGTGTCAGCCAGAGTGTAGAGTGGGACATGGAAACTATCATAGACATTCTAAGCAGAAAAAGATTTAGTGCAAGAAATTCTGTTTATAAACTCTTTGCAAAAAAACAGTTTGACATCTTTTAGAAAAAATAAACATGCAATTATCATACAGCCCAGCAATTGCACTCTTAGGCAAAATGGAAACTATATTCACACAGAAACCTGTACGTGAATGTTCACAGCAGCTTTATATGTAGCAGCCCCAAATTGGAAACAGCCCAGATATCCTTCAATAGGTCAATGGTTAAACAAGCTATGGTACACCCACACCATGAAATAACGCTCCACACCATGAAATAATAAAACACCGAACCAACTATTGATCCACACAGCTCGCATGCACCTCCAGGAGACTTAAACTGAGTGAAAAAAGCCAATCCCTAATGATTACAAGATGTATGATTCCACTTATAATGTTTCTTGAAATGACAAAATTTTGGAAGTGAAGGACAGAGTAGTTTTCAGGGGCTAGGGGTGCTGTTGTAAAAGGGTAACATGAGGCATCCATGTCAGAACTACTCAGTATTTTTACTTTGGTGGTAGATGAATGAACCCTCATGTATAATAAAAGGCATTGTATAAACACACACACACACACACACACAAATGAGTAGAAGTGAAATGGTGGAAATCTGAATAAGATCAGTGAATTGTATAAATGTCAATATCCTGCTTGTAATACTGCACTGTAATTTCTGAGGATGTGACCAAGGGGGAAATTGGGTAAAGGGTACATGGGATATCACTGTACTATTTCTTACAAATACATGTGAATTCTACAATTATCTCAGTAGAAACTTCAGTTAAACATTTTTTTTAAAGGATGGAAGAAGAGAAGCCAGAGGGCCATCGCTGGGCCAGCACAGCTCTAACCCAGAATTTAGGAAATTGCTGCTGCCCCCACCCCAACTGGCTGTTGTACTCATGAAACTTGGGTGACTAGACCCAAACTTGGAGTCTAGTTGCCAAAACTCTCGGTTAGTCTGACCAGGAGTAGAAAGATGGCTTTTGTTTCACTTCTACCTACCAGAAGGAGGAGGGACACATCTGACTGGCAGAACTCAATTTGCTTCCAAAACATTAGCTGCAAAATGATCTGGAAAATGTGGGTTTTGCACTTCAATTTTTACAAATAGAATATGGAATGGGAATTGAAAGAGCCAGTCATGATATCTACCATAAGTAGCCACTAGCTATGTGACCTTAGGCAAGTTTATTAACCTTTCTGGTCCCCAGTTTCTACTAAATAGAGATCATCATTATAACTACCTCATAGAATTAAATGTGATATGGCATAGTGCTTGGCACATCTTACTTGCTCACTTAATACATGCTAGTCATTATTGTTGTTTTCTTAAACTGATGTACAGTGAAAGAGTATTACAAATGTTCCATATTAAAAGCAAAGGAAACAAAGATTAAAAAGGAAGAGAAGAGAAAATTTGGAGGCGAAAACAGAGGCATTACTCTTGAATACTTGGTATCTAATCAATGTCAAGAAATAAGGATGTGAAAAAACTTATTCAACATATTGAGTATTGTATAGAATGGTTGATGCTGTGCGCTGAATTGTATCCTCCCAAAATTCATATGTTGAAGCCCTAGCTCATCATATGATGGTATGTGAAGGTGGGGGCCTTTGGGAGGTAATGAGATCACGAGGGCAGAGATTATTACCCTTATTTTTTTTTTTAAGATTTTATTTATTTGACACAGAGAGAGAGAAAGAGAGAGAGAGAGAGAGAGAGCACAAGCAGGGGGAGGAGCAGGCAAAGGGAGAGGGAGAAGCAGGCTCCCTACTGAGCAGGGAGCTCGACTTGGGGCTCTATCCCAGGACCCTGGGACCACGACCTGAGCTGAAGGCAGACACTTAACCGACTGAGCCACCCAGGCACCCAGATTATTACTCTTATGAGAAGAGATGTCTTCTCTCTTCACCATGTAAGGACACACAAGATGGCCCTTTGTAATCCAGATAGAGAGCTCTCACCAGGAACCAAATAAGCCAATGGACACTTCCTCTGAACTCAGGGATATTAGCATTGGCCAAGTAGCACATCCTTCTCAGTGGCTTGTTTTGAGTTTACTGGACCTGTTATGGGTTAAATTGTGTCCCCACCCCCCAAATTCATATGTTGAAGTCAACTCCCCCACCAGTAATTTAGCATATGACTTTATTTAGAAATAGGATCATAGCAGAGGTAGTTAAGCCAACATGAGGTCATATTGAGGGGCCCTAATCCAATCCAAGTCCTTATAAGAAGAGGAAATTCAGACTGAGATACAGGTGGAGGGAGAATGCTATGTGAACATGAAGATGGCCATTATAAGTCAAAAAGAGAGCCTGCAGAGGAAACTAACCCTGACAACACCTTGATTTTGGATTTTCAGAACTGTGAGGAAACAAATTTCTATTGTTTGTGCCACCCAGTCTGTGGTACTTTGTTGTGGCAGCCCTAGCAAACCAATATATGGCCCTATCGCCTTTCTTCAGAGAAGTTTTCTAGAAAACTAGCCTTCATTTTTTCTCAAACTTCCACTGTGTTTCAGAACTACCATTTCCCTCAACATTTTGTAATTATTTTATTTACAGGCCCTACAATATCATCAGTTTTCTTTCTTTTTTTTTTTTTTTTTTAACATTTTATTTATTTATTTGACAGAGAGAGAGAGAGCACAAGTAGGCAGAGCAGCAGGTAGAGGGAAAGGGAGAAGCAGGCTCTCCGCTGAGCAAGGAGCCCAATACGGGGCTCAATCCCAGGACCCTGGGATCATGACCTGAGCTGAAGGCAGACGCTTAATTGACTGAGCCACCCAGGCGCCCCTCATCAATTTGCTTTCTATGGGTCTTCTACTGTCATATTTCTTACTAGGAAAGGCAAATGTCCAGTATTCAGTAGTGTGATAGGAGGTCTCACAGCTGCAGGATAAACTTGGTATGTCCTCTCAGTAATCAGTTTTCCCAGAATTTTTGGGAAAATGTTAAATAATGTATTTGAAAATTAATTCAAGTCATACTTATGTTAAAACAAACATAAGTTTTTAATATAATCTAGTAGATTTCAAAGACATTTCTTGCTTATAGTGAGTTCCCCTAAATAAAAGTGTTCCCACCATCCTCTGCATTAGGGCCTCTTCATTTCCCATTCAGAGGCAGCCTTCTGCTACTTTAAAAAATTTCTATTTATTTATTTAAATATTACTTACTTATTTGAGAGAAAGCATGAGAGCATGAGTTGTGGGGGTGGGGGTTGGAGAGAGGAGCAGAGGCAGAGGGAGAAGCAAACTCCCCACTGAGCTGAGAGCCTGATGCCTGGCTCCATCCCAGGAAGCTGAGATCATGACCTGAGCTGAAGGCAGATGCTTCACGGACTGAGCCACCCAGGTGCCCACAGCCTTCTGTTACTGCATGTAATACACATTTATTCAGTCATTCTCTTTATAGAATGGACAATGAGAGCCAAGGTGTGAAACCAAAGACAATTCTATATATATATAAAGCTAAGGAGTATTCCTGAGAAGCTTAGGGGACAAAAAGATTTTTATCTTAATCCTGAGTTTTTCTGATTTGGGGATTTGAGGTCTCTAACAACTTGCATTGGTTGGGCACTCTCCTAATCACTCAATTTGTGACTTGAAGTGATGATCTGAGGTCATCTACTGCAGAGAGGAAAATGTATAGATTAACAGAGCAGTGGAAATAGGGATGTTTTTGTCTCTTGCATGGATTCTGGCCAACTCCTTAGGTACACACACCTGTCATCCTCCCAGTGAATCACCCCTGGCCTTCTCTCTGCCCAATGTGCAGCTGCCACATGGAAGCCAGCTCAGGAGACATCAGTTTAGGACCCCACCTTGCATTTGATTTACTTTTTTTGAAATTGGCCATGTCCAGGTTTATCCGGCCCTGCAGTCTTTTCAACATTTCCCGAAGCTGCACGTGAGTGGGGCCAGGCTTTCTTGTACTCTGCCACTCCTCTGAACTAGGATACTTTGAATCTAGTTACTTGGAACCTTGTGCCTGGTTCCAAGCTTCAGGGAAATGTGAGAAGAGCCAGAAAGCCAGGCTCCAGGTGAGGTTAGTGATTCCCCACATCTGTGACCCCATTTAGGGGCCTTGTAACGCTAGTGCCCCTCAGGAAACATAAAACCAAACTCATCGAAAGGCACTGCGATAGGTTTCCAGGAATTATTTATCAAAGCTGATGACCCAGGCCCCGTGACGCCTAGATTTGGCATTCAAAGCTTTCTCCTAATGAAAAGGTCAGGCCATACTTCCTCTCAGCATCTTCAGGTACTATTAGCAATCCTGGGAAATCCAGAAGGGCGGAGGACAGGAGACAGGGGTCCCAAGGAGGGTAAGATGGTGAAGTCCAGGCCGCCGACGGCCCGCCCCCTCCACACCAGGCCTTGCCACAGGACAGGCCGGGCGTAAAGACCGGGTAACATTTCCTTTCCTGAAGCTGCCTAACAGCCCCGGCCAGAGGCGGTGGGACCCGGCGACAAGCCCGCCCCTCCGGCGCTCCGCCCTGCCCGCGCGGCGCGCGCGGCCCGCGGCGGGGGAGGCGTGGCGTGGCGCGGCGGCCGTCGGCGGGGGGCGGGGCCTGCCGCGGGCGCCACGGGAGCGTCGCGGGCTGACGCGAATGACGCGGCGCTCGCCAGGCCGCAGCCCCGCCGCCCCGCAGTAGGGCCCGCCTCGGCCCGCCCCCGGCCCTCCCCGCCCGGCCTCCCGAGCGCCCCTGTCAGATTGTGGCGGCTGGCCGCGCGGTGCGCTCCTTCCCTGCTGCCTGGGCGAGGAGGCTTGTGTGCAGGCACACCCCCACGTCCCTTCGGCGCCGCTGCCTCTGCTCCACTGGCCTCAGCTCCGCCCAGCTCTCCGCCACACGCCGGTAGCGACATGGCACACGCGGCGGTACGCTGCCCCAGCGCTCGGGGCTCCGGGGACGGAGAGATGGGCAAGCCCAGAAAAGTGGCGCTCATCACTGGCATCACGGGCCAGGTGAGTGCCGAGGCGGGAGTTCGAGCCGGGCCTGCTGCTGCTGGGGCACGTGTGCGCCCCGCGCTGGGGGCTGCCTGCGTTACCAGGAACAGCCTTCTGGGCATCCCGGAAGGTTTCCGATGTGGCTTGTTGTGGAGGTCGATGACAAGTTGTGCCTTGTGGGGAGTGTGCTGAATGCATGGAATGCTTCTAGGCGTCCCTTGGGGCGTGGGAGCGTGTGTTCTACTTGGGATGTGGTCCTCATACCTGAGTAAGACTCTCTCACCTGTCCAGCCGGCGACTGCAGTGCTTGTTTCTCCAAGCCCTCTAGGGTGCACTTCCAATTTAGTTCTTTGCAGATCCTAGTGCTGGGGGAGGGAAAAATGACTGGTTTTCTGTGAGTGAGTGTGTGTGTGTGTGTGTGTGTGTGTTTGTGGAGCCAACTTGCTGTATTTCCGTGTAAGGGCCAAGGCCATTTACCTGCTAATGCTTGGGAAGCAGGGGAGTTTTTGCTGTTTTGGTTCCCCTTCACCAGATTTCCAGACAGAAAAAAACGAAAGAAAGTAATGCCGAGGAGTCATAGACCAGGAAATATTTTTTGTTTAAAAAGCACACCTCACAAAAACTTTTTAAACACACAAACTCCTGAAATCCATGTTAATACATTTGAAGTGTATCTGACAGACTGGTCCGAAGTTAGGCTAGGGTTCTATTTCCAAACAAAAGGAGTTCCTTAAGTGATACAGTCACGAGGAGCTGTCCTGCATGTTGGAACCCCATGTGCAGACTGAGCATGGCTCTTTCCTGACAGTCATCTCTTAGAGACATTGCAACAGGTAGGACCTCACCACTGGATCTAACCAAGCTGTGCTGCTTTAGATTCATTGGTGATGGAATGATTTTGCTCATTATTTTTGTAGACAAAGTGTCATATGTGTGCTTCTGGAGATCTCTTGATTGTGGCTAAAATTACTCTAATGGAGATGATGGCTAATAAATGTTGTGCTTATTATGTATCGGTCACATGACTAATATTAACTCATTTAGTTTTTAGAAGTACTCTTTGAAGGGGTACTTTTTTTTTTTTTTTTTTTTTTTACCTCCACTTTACAGATGTGGAAAGTGAGGCATGGGAGTTTGATTTGTCTGAAGTCAAACAACTAGAAGTGTCCAGCTGGGATTCAAACTCTGCTCTCATAGCACTCTAGCATAAGAAAAGAAATTGGAATTGGCCAGATGTAGAGTGCAAGAATATTAGATGGTTTTAACTACTGGATATCAAATTAGTTTCTGGTTATTCATCTTACTTTGTTTAAGGTTATTACAATAAAAAACTGTTTGAAAACTGGTGGAAGAGGTGGATAGGACAAGGATTTGAGATTGAGGAAGTGAACCATTAAATTTAGGCAAGGGCCTGTATGCTTTCATGTCATGGCCTACATACTTTTTTTTTTTTTTTTCCCCTAATGCTGAGGACTCTTCTGTAGATGGTTTCCCTTTTTCCAGTTTCTTAGACTGGATCTGAAGCTCAAACGTTTACTAAGCTTATATGAACTCTTGAAGAGAGAGATTTTTTTAAGTAAACATTAAGAAATTAGTTAAGCTGTTAATGTAACTCTGTTGGTATGGCTTATACCAATTTAAGCGACTAGCACTATCAATTAGCACAGATTAGACATCGGACCTTGTTTAGGGCTTTGAACACAGTCATCTGTTTGGTACTGAGTGGCAAGGAAGGTGCGGAAGTGGCCCCCATTGTAGTTTGTCCAATAGGCTGCTGCAGGGGAGTCTTCTTTAAGCACATGTTCAGCGTGCTATGCCCTAACCAGACATTTTTGGCTCACCACTTCATTTTGGCTCACCACTTCACTTCCAACTTTAAAATCCTTGAGTTTCAGTCTCCTTTTACCTTCAGCACCAGTATTTTCCTCTTTCCTCCCACCTTCACCCTTTGCATTGTCCCTTTCCATGTTGGGTTTTTGTGTTGGCTTCTGTACCCCTGGCAGAGTGCTAAACTCTGTAGCTGCACATAAATCCTTGCTAATGGAATTTACTGCTCTGCTATGCTTTGCATTTATCTTCTAGGACAGTGCCTCCTAACCTGAGTATCAAGGATCTTCAGAGGACTGTGAAGTTAATACAAGAGACCTGAAAATCCATACATTCTTATCCATTTTTAAAATAGTATTTGGTGAGAGCTTACTGAACTACTCACTCTGCTGAACACTTTATATATCCCTACCTTAGAGGCAGGTACAATTTTTATTCCCAATTTATACCTGGCTAAGTAAGGTTAAGTATGTTCCCTGGGAGTGCACATCCAGTGAGTGTCAGAGCTGAGATTTGAACCAAGGAGTTGCTTAGAGCAATTTTGCTAATGCTGCTTCTGTGGTAAGCTACAGTACAGCTTTGTGTGTCTGTGTGTGTGTGTGAGAGAGAGAGAGAGTGAGAGAGAAAGAAAAAGAGAGAGCCTGTTTTACTCTAAGAAGAGATCTCAGATTCAAGAAGGTGAGGTAGATACCATTGCCCTTAGGGTATTCATGGCAATTGTGCTATGATGGGCTCTTAAATGGGTTGTCCCTAATTCCCACTTGAGAATGAGTGCAGGTAGCCATGGTGCCCTGTCTGCTATGCATCTCTAGTACTTACTGTCAGGTTTCATATACTAGCTTTCTCCCTCCTGTCTATTCTTTTTTTTTTTTTTTTTTTAAGATTTTTATTTATTTGTCAGAGAGAGAGAGAGAGCACAAGCAGGGGGAGAAGCAGAGGGAGAGGGAGAAGCAGGCTCCTCACTGAGCAAGGAGCCCGATGTGGGACTCGATCTCAGGACCCTGGGATCATGACCTGAGCTGAAGGCAGATGCTTAACGACTGAGCCACCCAGGCGTCCCTCCCTCCTGTCTATTCTCGATACAGTAATTGTGAATCATTTTCTAAAGTTTTTACCTTATTAAATCACCTTAAAGAAAACCACTCTCAGGCTTGGCTTTGCTGCCTCTAGGCCCTCTACCAGCCATCCCCAGAGCTCACCTCCACTCTCTTAATGTGCTTGTGGTTCTTTACTACACATATGGAACTGTTCTTGCTTTTCTTTGAATACTATCTCTTTGTACCCCCATTGGAGTCATTTTGTGGCTGAATGCCCTCACAGGTCTTACTCCTTTTCAATCAACTAAAGCCTCTGTATACTCCAACTAATCCTGCCAAATGCAGCCATTCCAGGAACTTTCTTTGTATTTACATATATGCAGTCTCTGTTGGCTATATAGGTAATTTGCACGTCTTAGTTCTTTGGTTTGTAAACTGCTTTAAGATAGAAACCTTTCAGCGTATTATTTCCCACATAGTTTTGCTTAGTGGGCTTTCAAAAATGTTGACTTTTCTCATTAACAACATAGCTTTACTCTGTTTCTGCAGGGTACAAGGCTGTTTTGATGCTGGTGGGAATATAACGATATGTAAGATGTACTCATTGCCCACTAGGATCTTACAGTCTTTGAGGAACCTAAGACCATGCACATGAAAAAAGTAGTACTGTTCAAGTATGGTAGTGAAGTAGTGAAGTAGGAAACTTGTATTGTACAAGTGATGTAGTATTGTAGTCTTGTACAAGTAGTGAAGTAGTAGTATAGTATTGTATAAGTAGTGAAGTAGTATTGTAAAAGTATGTTAGAGGCCAAATGAATGGTTTATCCAATGTCCAGGACTCTTGGATAAGTCATTGAATGCTAGAAATAGCAGGGGCTGTGTTGGGTTGGACAGCATGCACAAGAGTGAAGAGAGGAGACAGTTTTGGGGACAGTGAGGACACTGTAATAATAATGGAGGGAATTTAATTTATTAAATTATTTATACCTCTTGCTCATTTCCAAAAAGATTCTGAAGTGGCATCAATAAAAAACACATCATTGGGCCATCTTAAAAAGAATGAAAAACAACAACAACAACAAACCAGCCAACTCCAAACCAAAAAAACAGGGGTCTGCAGTGAAGGCAATAGAAAGGTGGATGTAGTGTACCAAAACCCAAAGTTAAGGATAGCTACTGTCAAGGTGGACATAAAATTCAGCTTTGACTTTCCTGTGAGTCAAGACAAAGTGGAAAGGTGAGTCAGACTTTTTATTAGTATTACACTCTTAGAGAAATAACTTTAAACAACAAAACAACATGATGCACAATATGCTTGATAGTAGTTTTTTAAAGACAGTCATCTTCTTAGGACACTTTTATTACTCCCTAATGGATGGCAAAAGCACACTTTTTGGTAGATAGAGACATAATTGAATGGTTAGTGTTTGTGGATTTTTTCCTTTGTTAAACAGATATTTTTCTAATATCTGTTATTTCAGGCTGGTCACTGACAAGAGAGTAGGCAGGTTTGAACTGTAGATTACTTTGTCAGATGTGTTGATTGTAAGGTTAATATTGGTGTTTTAAAAGTGGAAATATTTGACAGGGTGTGGTCCTTCTTACCTGTAAGTTGGCCTAGATTTTCCTTGGGAAGTGGTTTAGATCTGGCCAAACATTTAAGCAAGTACCAATTCAATGCTCCAGATTTCTGCTTCATGACACATGGAAGACAAAGCATTTATCTTTAAATAGTTACAGTCAAGAAGAGTTAACTTGTCTGTGGTTGGAAGACAACAAACTTTTGGTAAGTCTTGCAAAGATGAAAGAGATGGACACTTTGGGTTATCAAGGTCAGATTCTTTAAGTCATATTATTTTGTTTCAGAATTTTGTTTTTATGGCCTTATTTTTAATTTTCACTACTTTTATTAGTTTCTGGTCTTTAAAGAAAACATGTAAAATGGATGACCTAATTCCGTAGACTCAGGTGGCTCTTGCAGGCTTCATGTTCTTCATTTAAGAGTTAATTTAGCATATTAGAAAATGGTAATTGAGAATTGGCAGGAAGTACCATTCTTCCCACAGTTTTCCTTATCCCCTTTTAAATAATGCTTCAATTGAATTATAATAGATAACTGGGACATTACCTCTTTTGGTTTTACTTTCTAATCCA